AATGTACGCACCGAGGCCGTTAAGCCGAGGTCCGTTTTCAAGACAGAGAGCAAGACGGTAAACAACTTATTCATTTTTTATTTTATCATCTAATTTTTAAATTTTATAATGTAATCTAGCAGTCCCAGGATAACGGACCGGGACGGCGGACAGATACTGAGGGAGTTCGCACAGCCATAGCCTCCTCCGCAGGCACTCTGTCATAAGATGTAACACAGGGATCCCAACGGAGAGTATATCGGATAGTCTGCGGAGGAGGGTAACACAGCCAATCACAACGCACAACTTCTTAGGATACCAGACCGGAAAAAAAAAATTACCCTCCTATTTTTCCATTCCTGTAATGCAAATGCAACTAAACGAAAACGATTAGAATTGATATAAAATTGATAACAATGAATAAACGATATTCCAGAAATCGATAATCATTTACTATACTCACAACGTTTTGACCTGTCATCGATTGCTATCGATTAATACAAGAATTTATCGATTGCACAGGCCGAAATGTTTTTATTACACTTAAAAAGAAAATATTCTTTCACAGTATATTACAGTTGGTCATGAAGCCTTCTGACATAAGAGGATGACTACTGAAAACAGTACTGAACAGTCTGATCTGTTGTATCATACCGTAATACAAAGAGAAGAGAACGAGATTAGAGCATTGATTGATGCTGGTGCTGATGTAAATATAACTGATATAGAAGACACAACTGCTTTGTTTCATGCTGTTCAAGAAAGTAACAACGAGAGTGTGGTTCGTGCATTGATTGTTGCTGGTGCTGATGTCAACAAAACTGATGATGATGGGGGCAAAACTGCTTTGTTTTATGCTGTCCAGCAAAGTAACAACGAGAGCGTGGTTCGTGCATTGATTGATGCTGGTGCTGATGTCGACAAAACTGATGATGATGGCGAAACTGCTTTGTTTTATGCTGTCCAACAAAGTAACAACGAGAGTGTGGTTCGTGCATTGATTGATGCTGGTGCTGATGTCAACGTAACTAATGACATTGGCGAAACTGCTTTGCTTAATGCTTTCCAACAAAGTAACAACGAGAGTGTGGTTCGTGCGTTGATTGATGCTCGTGCTGATGTCAACAACTCTCAATATGATGGTAAAACTGCTTTGTTTTATGCTGCCCAACAAAGTAACAACGAGAGTGTGGTTCGTGCATTGATT